CCATGCAAAACTAATTTTGAACTAAACGAATCATTCCGTGGTTTATGTCAGGATTTTAACTGTCACTCCAGCACGTTTGACGTATCGGACTCGATTTTTACTATAAAGAAAACTATTATTTCCACTCTCAATAATTGAAGTACTATCTTTAGCATATCCAATCAGCTGATGAATTTGATTCTGTAGCTGAATAGTTTTAGATCTCGACACTTAACAAACTCCTGTTTCCACTACTCGGCACCAAAAAACTAAAAAAAAAAGGTTCCGTACGTCATGCGGACTGCGCCCCTCGTGCCGGTTGGACGGGAATGGAGGGTAAAAAGCCGTTGGGATTATTTATTTATTTAATAATTGAAAGCTCACAACCCTTTTATAGACATTTTCATCTTCAATATGAAGATAATATTATGCTATGAATTCGCTGTACATATGATAGTGATTTCCTTCAACGTAAGCTGAATATTTCTTGTTTTGTGTATCGCCAGGTTGCATTCGAGAAAATTTTAAGTAACGGTGAAATTGAAATTGTTACTGGAGATGATATCACACTATGCTCAGATGTCATATTCATTGATATTAAAAGTTATAAACATTATATGGATTTGGAAATTTCTTAACTTTTGATACTATAATATGGATTTGCCGTACTCATATGACATATAAAAAGAATACAAATGTAGTATATAAAAAGATTAACTTGATATTTGGTTTTCATTACTCAGCGGAGAGTGATCGATTAGTTAATAAAATTGGTGGTTCCATTACATAATTATGTCCACAATTATTTAAATAGGATTTGAATAGACTCTAAAAAAATAATATAAACTTTTATAGAAATTCATAAGACTATTTTTTAAGCGAATTTAAAAAAAAAGCTCAATCAGGGAGTCTATTTTAATAGGAAATTTATTGCTAAAGAAGTCAGCATATCAACATAGATATAATATATATATCATATATAAAAACGTTTCTTATTCAACCTCCTTTTGAAGAATCCAAGTTAACGATACGGAATAAAACAACTAATAACTGGTTATATCATATTCATCATGGATTAAAATGGGAAGATGGTGATTCGACTTTAATGGCTGTTACTGAATAAATCCATTCATTAATGAAAAGAAAAAATTATATATTCTATGCTAAAGGATTGGAGAAAATCAGATGGTTTCAACGTTTATTCGGATACGATATTATTTTATATAATTTAGATGATTTAAATTGTCCAAATTTAAAGAATTTATATATTAAAAATATAAATATAAATACTTGTAAATATCATGAAAATTCTATGATATGTGCTGAAAAAATTTAATAATATTAAGAAACTTTACTTCTTCATTAAATATCTAATAGCAAATAAAAAATAAATAAGTAATTATAAAACTATATTTTATTTCAAATTAATTTCTTTTTGTCTCATCATCAACATCAGCAGACTTTTCCCTTCATATGTGAAAGATTAAAAGATTTCGTATTATTTTTGAATTTGTTAGACATTCGGTGACTCTTTTGAATTTAATAAATTTGTCTTTCAATGAATATAAACGAGAAAAACAAGTATCTTAATCTTTTTCGAAACGATGTATTATTAATATCTCCTGCTTTCTGTATCAAAATATGAGTTTTCATAAAAAAAAATGCTTAGGAACTTTTCTCACTAAGTTAGCAATATATGAATGAATAATGCTAGATGAATAAAACATTTAAATATACACATACTTTTATAAGCATTTTTTTTATATGTTTATGTGGGATTCGTTATCGTCCACTTGGCGTTACTATACTTATTAGGCAAACAATGATGATGAAATCAAGATCAAGGCTACTTATAATATTAGCATTTGATTTAACTCATATAATAAAATTTAAATAGGGTAATAAAAAATAAATATATTCTTTGACAGCAACATTGAGTTTAAGATTATTTCCACATTTTTTATTGAACCATATTATGAAGCATAAAATAGATTACTAAAGTATATGTATATTTAAATATGTTCTTTATCAACAGTTCACCTCAATGCTTTTTATATAGTTATGAAATGTGTATAAATAAGCTAATAATGTACATTAGAAATTATTACTTTGTTTAAAGCTACTAAAACACATCATATCATGCCTGGTATAAATCGAATCCTCAATAGCGAGCATCATGGAGAGTGCAACTTCAGTTTTGAATTGGAGATGTTGTGCTTTGAAGATATGAAAAACCCTTATATAT